AAATGTTTAGTAATTATTTAAATAATGATACATTTTAAAATAACAAGTTAAAAAACTGTTTTTTACATTATACGATTGGACCACGACTGAGTTCAATGCTACTAAAATAGTAATTGTAACTATATTATTAATAAATTATTAAATTGATTATTAAATTAATAACTAAAACACAATAAATGTAATTTTAAAAAATAAACATTAATTATAAATAACATTATAAAATAAGATTGTTTTAAATTTATTGGTTTAATATTTATAATTTAATGGGATTATGTAAATAACCAGTGTAATAATCTAAATGGTAATTTATACTTTCGGTAATAAAACTTTGATGTAATTACACTATTAAGCCGACGAGACTCCGACCACAGGATTTACTCTATGGTTACGATTTAATCGTTGATTTTGTCTCCGATTTGTTATATTAAATAACTTTATGTTTTGAATTGTTTGGCGATTATTACAGATATTTGTTTTATATTTGATAAACAATTGTGTGAATAGATTAGTGAACATAAGGACTGATACACCAAACCATAGGCCCACTAGTGATCCCATAAACACCACGTACTCTTCAAATGACATTTTAAATGATATTTCGTACACAATATCGGGCTCTGACGGTACCAACAATATTACCAGCAAATCACTTGTCATTTTTGCCGGTCTATACTTTAATGTAAAATCTACATAATAATAGTGTTGTATGCACTCCACTCGGTCACCGCATTCACGTTTGCAATCGTTTACAACACTATTGTTTGTTAATTGTTTACCAAAACACGTTGTATTATTAATCTTATCGATATTTTTATAGTAAATATAATTATCTGGAAATATTGAATATTTGACATAATATTGCCGTATAATGCACTCATCCACGCAATCACTACCCGATTGATCTACAAAACACTTGACAGTATTCAATTTGTTGTGGTAAACCACGGTGGTCTTTTTATAACCTAGAAAACAATCAGTAGCGTTGCCAACGTAAATTGTTACCCTGTCTTTGACATGGTAATTACGAATTCGTTGCCTCCGGGAATGTATGCAAATGTTTAGTCCGGAATATTTAGAAATTTGTTGTCTATTGACAGTAAGCGCCAACATTTGGGCCGAGACTATATCAGTAGTGTTGGCAGCAAATAGGCTGTTGGGCTCATTTAGCCACTGAGACAATACAGTCCAACAAAACCAGTGGTCAGACGCCTGTAGACCGAACCGTATGGACGATATGGAGTTACATATGGGATGTTTATTTGTGCTTGATTGAAACCTACAGCTATTTATAAGTTTGGGTAAATTATGTTGCATTTCCGCAATTGTATGATTTGCGATATAATGTTTATATTTAGATGGGACTAAATGGCCATTATTGTTACTGCCACGGGTGCATAAAGTTAGCGCTGGTGGGCTAACCAGTGTCTGCCATTCGTAGATTACGTTTGTTGTGGTTTCGTATGAGAAATATATTAAACTAATTTTATACGTCTGGTATAGAAATCCACACAATAATAGTGTTTTTATTATAAATGAAGTGTAAAAAATTTTTGGAAACATTTTATACTGTATAATAATTTTAAATAAATTTATGATATTATTAATATAATAATGTATTTTATAGTAATTTTGTAAATAATTAAATAATTTGTAATAAAAAAGTGAGACTATTAAAAATATAGTTTTATTGCTTTATGTTGAAAATAAATATAATAAAAGGAAACATGTTCACAACTTAAAAGTTTTTAGTACTTTCAGTTTAATAATAAGAACTGGTGTAAGTTTATAAGTAACCATAATTCAATTAATGAATTAAATTTCATATACTCTTAAATGTTAAATTAAAAATAACTAATGTAATTCAATTTTTTAAAAATTTGATTGAATAATGAACATGGTTCGTTGTATTTCTTATATTATTTAGATAAGAAATCAATATTTCATTAAATAATTTGTTTGTTTATACGTTGTAATAAAATAATTGATATAGTTTTTACTTTTACCAAATTTAATTAAATAAATGCTTATTTTACATCAATTGATTTGATATAATAAACATATTTACGTAATTTTATATTTCTCAATAAATATAAATTATTAATATAATAGAGTATATTAATTATATTATTACAAATAAATGATCAAATTTATAACTAAATATCACTTGAATTAATCACAAATAATTAATTTATTTTAAACTAAAATAACTGTTTTGCATTTTGTCTTGAATATAATTGAATTATTTCATCTAGGCATGTTTAGCAATAATTCAATTCATATTTTTACTATTGTCTCTACAATACTTTATATAATTAATAAGGTAATTATTTAACATTAATTATGAATCTAAGCGGACGACATTGTAATTACATTATCTACTTTATGGTTACGAATTGATCGTCGATTGTATCTCCGATTTGTTATATTAAATAAAATGCTTTGATTGCGAATCGTTTGCGTCTTATATTTGATTAGCAATTGTGTGAATAGATTAGTGAACATAAGGACCGATACACCAAACCATAGGCCGAGTAGTGATCCGACAAATATCAGGTACTCCTCCCACGACATCTTTAAAGATATATCGTATACAATATCGGGCTCTGACGGTAACGACATTGTCATCTGCAACCCATTTATAAGTTTGCTTTGTCTATACTTTAGTATATAATCTAATGTATAATAGTGTTGAATGCACTCAACTCGGTCACCGCATTCACGCTCGCAGTTAGGGTGACCAACTCAAGTTCTAGAAAAAGAGAATTTTTGACTAAATTTACAGTAATTATAAAGGACAAATAGAGGACACGTATTTTAGTCTCACTTTTCTTTTAAATTAAAAATCCTTTTAATACCAATGATAACTATAACTACATGTCCTCTATTGTAATAAGGCATCAGTTAATTATCAAACAATCACTTCAACATATTGTGTACTTTACTAATATATCGTAAATTTATATAACATTTTAGTAAATTTTATAGAAATAGAACAATTTATTGGGAAATTTAAAAAAGGCAATCATTTGTCCTCTATGACCCCTTCAAATAACAGAGGACAAGAGTCCGAATAGAGGACAAGAGTCCGAATAGAGGACAAGAGTCCGAATAGAGGACAATCCTCTGTAATAGAGGACGGTTGGTCACCCTACTCGCAGTCGCCTAAAACACTGGTATTTGTCATTTGTTGACCAAAACGTGTTGAGTCATTAATTATGTCGATATTCTTATAGTAAATATAATTATAAGGGAATGTAACATATTTGTCATAATATTGCCGTATAATGCACTCATCCACGCACTCAACACGAGATTGATTCTTAAAACATTTGACACTATCTAGTTTGTTATTATATATAACCGTTGTCTTCTTATACAATATAGTGCATTGGGTAGCGTTGCCAACGTAAATATTGATCATTTCCTTGTGATGATAATTACGGATTCGTTGCGTTCGGGAATGTATGTGAATGTTTAGGCCGTAATATTCTGTAATCTTATGCTTATAAATAGTAAAGTTCAATGTTACGGCCCAAATAATACCTGTTGTGTTCGTCGCATACTTACTATCCGACTCATTGGTCCACCGAGACAACAAAGTGTAACAAAACCCTTTGAATGGCGCAAATAAACCCGTTTGAACGGATGATATTGAGCTACATGAGTGAAATTTATCCACTGATGATTGGAAATCACATCTGTTTATAATATTGGTGAAATTCTCATGCATTTCAGCGATTGTATGGTTGGCAAAGTAATTCTTGTAATTAAAAGCATTTAAAAGATGATCACTGTGATTATTTCGTATAATGCCTGTTGGTACAAATTGTGCAATTTGTGCGCATAGGGTTATAGCGGGTGGACTGACAACCGTTTTCCATTCATAGCGTATATTAGTTGTGGTCTCGTATGTGAAGTATATTAAACTGATTTTATATGTTTGGTATAGGAATCCACACAATAGTAATGTTCTTAATATACAAGTTGTTATAGTAATTTTAGAAAACATTTTATTGATCATGATGATGTAAAATTTATCAATTATTATAATTTTATTTTGTAATAAAACTATATACTAAATTAATAAATGTAAATTAAGTCACAAATGTCAGGAATTATTACATTATAAATAAACTTGTATAAAAATACTATGGGTGTTTTTTGACACAACAATATCTAATAATAAATATAAGTTGTATGTTTTAATGATTGATTTAACGGAAACAAAATTTCATTAAGTAAATGTCACTATTTTTAAACAACAAATTTATATTTATTTAATTTAGAAGTAAATATACCACATTGATTAATTTAGTATATATTTTAGAAAAAAATTTTAATGTAATTTTTTAATTCAATTTTTATGTAATATTAAATTGTGAGGAATTGCATGCATTGGAACCGTTCAAAGACATCGAAGAATAAATTGTCTTATTTTACCATTTATAATATCATTTATTTTACTCTTATTTTTCCATTTATTTTTGCATTCAATTTTACTTTACATACAATTCCTGGAATTACGTGCGAACAGTGGAGTTACCCTTTTATGGCCCTTAAGTGCTAATTGGGAACACATTGTCCAGCCGTCCAGAAACACATATTTAATCAATTAAACATAACTTTTCATAACATCTCATTTGATAACATTTTTACCAATTTAATGATATTTTACATTAATTATAATTACTATTTTATATACATTATTGTTTTACATAACCGTACCTACATACTGGTACCAAACACTTGTATCCAAAAACCGTACATTGTATCAGAATTATGTTTTTCTATACTTATTCACTGTAAACGTGAAATTACTCTGTATTTGATATAACCCTTATTATAAACGAATAAAAGGACTTTCAGTTCAGTTTTGAAACAACTTGCGGTCTATCATTCTTTCACTTCTATTCCTCCCGAGTGAGTCCGACTCTTATTGAGTATGTGACCCGAGGCCACAAACTATACCCTCTTTCCCACACTACCGCTCAATCCGCTAATCACACCGACGGTAGGACCGATCGCTCCCGTAGATCAGGCCCCGTTCCACCGTCCCGTACGGTTCGCCCCGAACCAGTGTTCACCACACCATACTAACAGTAGAACAGTACACACTTTTAATACAGTGCATCGTTCAGTGAGTCATAATAAGACTTAATGCAGTGTACCGAACAGTAGAACACTAATAAAACAATACAGTGTACCGTTCAGTGTTAAGTGTCAACGAACCGTTCACCGCAACAACTCGACAATAAACCGCTCCCTCTGTGAACACTGACAATAAACATAAGAACCGTCACAAAATATTGAATTTATAGAATAAATTCCAATTCAATTTTTAATTTCTATTGAAATTTCATTTTAATTGTATGTTTATAAAGTTTAACAGTTAAGTTATTGCATACTTTACACTAAGTACTCACACAATAATAAATAATCATTAAATTAATAGAGCACCAGTATTAAGAACCTTTCAACGCAGAACATTGTAAATTATAAGTGCCTGTAATTGACTTAACAATTATATAGACTTAAAAATTAATTAAAATTACAATGTATTATTTACTTAAATAATATTCATTATTAAAACATGAATAATTATAACAACGTTTTAACAAACATTTAAAGTCAATTTTGTATTTTAATTATGAGTACTTAAAATCAGCTATTTTTTCTATCGAGGTAATAACCACGTAATAATACAATACCTCCTATTATGAAACCAACCCCAAAAACAGTAAGCACTACATTTAATATCCAATAAATGGAGAAATATAGACCAGGGTCACAATAGTCGTACGAGACAGGGTCAAAATTTGGGAACTTAATCATGTATACGACAACAACCACTATATAAATATAATAACATTGTTTTACTTAAATATAAGAAAAAATGTATAAGACTTACATCCAATGAAGAAAACAATTCTATATATGATAAATAAATAAGTGAGCATCTTGCACAATTTAGATTTATTATCACCAAAATTCCAAAAATACATATTTATTATACCATTTTTGACCATAAGCCATGGTATTGCTGGCATTACTGGACAGGCACCCCAATAAACAATACCTGGTTGCAATTAAAATATCTTTATGAAGAATTTATTTAATTTTTCCATGTATTTTACCCAAAGCTATTAAGGTAATTAATAGTCCAAAGTATCCGATTACCAGCGATATAATTAATACTATTAAAATTTTTAATTTAGAATTAAATTTAATTAAATGTTATTAGCATGGTATTTGTATAATTGTAATTAATTTGACATTATACCCGCAATACAGCATGTACATTTGTCCTTATTTCCAAACATTGATGTCCACCTTCCATTATCATGGTCATCAATATTATTCAACATCACTATTAATAATACAATATGACAATTATTACAATAAGTTAAACTAAATTTTAAATCATAAACATGTTGTATATCTTTAAGTTTTTAATATTTCTTTATAATTAGCTATAATTAATGTCAAGTTCACATAGTAAATTAACTGGCTATATGGTTAATAGAATCATACAGTTTTATAATAAAATATAAATTGTTTAATATTTACAATTGCACAACAAGTACACAATACACTTGTCGATTATCACTATGGGTGTTTATGCGATATATGAAACACAATATGCGTTACAATAATATTAATAAAGTTGTATAACTAATTGTAATTCATTTGAAGTATTAAAAGTTATACAAAATAAACTTTTACTTAAGTTATATAGATGCTGCTATAGATGCTGATAATTATCTGATTAATAGAAAGTTATATTGCAGTTACATATTATATTATACATGGTTTTAAATGTTGGGTTAATTGATAATGTTTTGTTAAATCAAGTAATATATACACCGTGTATATGATAGTTTGCCCTATCGTGTTTTTACATAGGAATACATTGTAATATTATATAAGTTTAAACACGTGTAGATCAGTCATCTGTAATGCGAATTTAATAAACTCGGTTGTTTTCTGACATGTATTTAGTATACTTTATGTTTATATAATCAACAATTCGTTTTTAAAAAAATCTGTTTAAAATAAACAAAACTTTTGAAATTATAGTAATTTTTGTGGTATAACTTGCATTGGAGCAATGCTAAATAATGAGGCAAAGTATCGTATACACCCTGTAGTTTTATTTTATATAACAACAAATTTAAGGAACTATTAATAATGTAAAATAATTGTTATATATATTATATAATTTAAATTTTTATATATTTGAAATTAAATAAAAAATAACTTAATAAAATGCTTTATACAGAAGCATGTACTACAACATGTACTACATAATAATTGTATACTTAATAACTGTGTGCTATACTAAATAACTATAATTGGTATTTATGTATAAGAAGTTTACGAGGTTTTAACATTTTCTATTGTATCAAAAGTTCAATTAATTGCACTCAAGTTATTAATGTCATTGTGTGCTTATATCTGGATTGTGATGCTTATCATTACATCATTTGATGTGCCAAAAGTTACTTGTGTTAAAAATATAATAGTTTCATTGTGCTACCTTATGTTGCCACGGTTGTTTTGTAACATGGGCGTATTTTATTGTTATTAATATGATCAACAATATCATTATACTATCCCATATGAGATATTAAAAAATTGTATTGCCATTAGGTATCAGAAATATTGAGTATACATAATATGTATAATAAAACAGCCAATAATAGTAATTGGTGATATTTTCTATTACCACTGTTTATGCTATTTTAATTTGACATACTGCATATAATTCAAAATAATCATGTGCAAATAAATATAATCACAAAAATTAAGTTTTATTTTATTGAAATATTATATGATTTTCAACAATCTTAAAACAAAAATATTCATTGTTACTTACTTTTGTTAATTAATGTCAAAATAAATGTATATATTCACTTGAATACATAAATACTTGGTCATTCATTTTATAATAAAGTTAATTAACATTTATAATCTTGTGTATTATTAATAATGATTTATTATAAGTAAAATGCAATAATTTGTAAGGTGTAGGTAAAAATTTCGTCACCTAATTGTCACTTTTAAAATAATTTTTACCACTAATTAAACCGCAAACACACAAACACAACGCAAGCCCTAACACTATAGCCATTACACTCAACAGTATGTTAAGTATCCAATAGGCGGACAAATACAGGTTTTGGTGACAGTAGTATTCGGAATCCTGGTCTTCAAAGTCCGGGAAACGAGCTTGGTACACTACGCACACCACTATAGTTCAAGGTAAAGTTGTTAGTTTGTTTAATCAATTAATTTCTATTAATATTTAAATTGTTTGTACAGGCTATCAGGACAACCAAGGTAATGAATCTCCATATGTAGCTACATGAAACTTCTGTCCGTGATCGTTTACTGTCCTTTTTGGTCTGAAAGGTCAACAAACCGAACACACCGTTCACTATCATTAATATGGGCAGTGATGGGGCAATGGGACAGTCATGTAAGTAGATTGAACCTAAGAATAATTTTAAATGTTAGCATTATTTATGTTACATAATGATTTTCAATCATGATTACTATTTGATTAACTATTACTAACCCATTGTTATGAATATAATCTGTAAGCCGAGCGCCAAAAATATAATTAACGCAATAAATACTACAAAATATTTTAAACATTTAATAAATAAAAATAATTTATGCATATTTTATTTATATAATAACAAATACAATTAAAACTAAAACAAACCAATAGACCCTGCGCATATCACCGGACAGCATAAACAACCAACTACTGTGGCGGCATTACTACTAATAGCACCGTCGGTAACATCTTTGTTGGTACTGATGGTCACTTTGTCCTCTTTCTGAAACGGTTCCGCCTCTTCATTAACATCGATGGCAACCGATTTGTTTAATCCGTCACTCATTTTAATAACAATACTTAATTACAGTTAATTAATTGTGATTTTCTAAAAACAACGCCTAGTATTAATAGTAAAACATTATTTATTATAATATTAGGTATTATTATTTTTTATGATAAGTAAAAGTAAAATGTGTGAAAGTATTTGTTATTTGTGTTAACTATTCGTATAAAAAGAGACATATTTATCAAATATCCATGACTTCACTAATCTGTGAATTAATATAATAAATAGTTTATTTGTTTTAGGTTTTTATCATTGTTTTGGTTAGATATTAATATAGCATCAATGTCAAATCACTATTGTAGTTTATTTGTAAAAAGCTAATAATTAGCTAAATTTAACTAACATTGAAATGAATATGTTTACGTTTAAAAAAGTTTGCATTATTTACTTTATTTTAACTAATATAAAGTTAGTAAATTACATAATAAGTTAGTAAAAAATTTTAAAACATATTATTTAATTAATTATTCACTATTTTTACCCGAAATATATAGGCGCAAGCATTTTATCAACTTAATTATCACAATAATTACTATAAAAGCAAGCAGCATATTTATAATACAAAATACCGATAAATAAAGACCAGGGTGACAATATTGACTTTGATTATTCGTGGGTATTTCAAAATCTGGGAACGCGACCATGTACAACAAAACTGTCACTAAAAATAAACATCATCATAATAGCATAATTAATTAGACAAATATTTTTTAAAAATTTAATTATTTCACTTGCGCCAAATAAATGCAACTAATTTGACCGGGATCGACAAATAGTTGATTAGTAGCCACCAATTATTGCAATAATTATTATCATCATTTGAAGCCCATATATAGATATTTATGATACCATTGGTTAGTGTGAGTATAGGAATGGACGGCATTACCGGGCAAGCGGTCCAATAACGCCAGGCTGTAATTATCATCTTAAATTATTAGTTATATTTGTTTACTTTTTCACACTTATAAACTTGATAATTACCCAATGATATTAAGGTTAATTGTGTGCCAAAAAGCAGGCTAACACCTATAACTATTAAAACTGTAATCAAAGTATAAGTTTGGTTAAAACCAGTAAACATTTTCTAAGCATTAATTAATATAAATAATAAAATTATAATGAGTTAATTATGAACATGTAAATTTACCTGTTTTAATGAGCCTCTTCACACACTTAGGCTTATTATCTAACCATGGCCATCCCCAGTTATTGTCCTCCTCATTGCCATAATATATTCCTTCGGGCATTATTACAGGTAATTGATAAAAATGAACACTTATTTACTTAAAATTTTAATTTTGGTCATTAATTTAAACCGTGTAACCACTCATTTAATTATGGATGTATTTTTATTTTTTAGATCACGATTGTAAATTTAACAAATATACTTGATGACACAATTAAAGTTTATCTACAATGATGTATTTATTAAATTACAATTAGTTTGATAGATTTTTATATATTTCAAACAATATTAGAAATTATTTGTGATTACGTTTGATACAAAATATACTATTAATGATAATGTGCAATACAAACAATTACACCGATTTAATATATAAGCTGCAATAGGATTTATGTAACATAGATATTTTAATATAAAATATTATAAAAGAATTTTATCAAATATTGTGAACATTAAGTTCATTTTACTCATAAAAAAGTAACATTTTATATTGTTATGACACCGAGAGGGCCAGTATTCGCGCGGTTGCGGTGCGGCAACATTGCGGTGATGTTCAGCGGTGACCAACAGTTGGCCAACAGTTGTTCACATGTCTAAAGTGAACAAAAGAATATATGGATGCAAATGGAGAATAAATGAGACAATGAGTACACGTCTAAACACTTTAATGGTTAAAACATAACTGAATACAATGTGATTGTGAGAGAGCGGACAGGTATACAGGTAAGTATAACACGTGTAATTGTACAGTATATGGTAATTATAGTTAAATAATATTGCTCTGATTTAAATTTTCAGCTTCTTCTAATGTGTCGGGAATTTCTTTGCCTTTTGTTTCGGGCAAATATAGAGCTAGTAGTGCGCCAACAGATGTCAATACGCCATATAATATCATCACAAATGCTAAACTAGTGACAGATGCCTAAATAAATACAAATTATAAAATTAAATTATCTTGGTTAAAAATGCGTGAAAAACAATATACAAAATACAAAAACATATTATAAATAAAGCATTTACATAACTGTATGTCATGAGTAATTATACAATAATAAAACTGTAAAAATACCAGATTTGTCATAAAGGGTGCGCTAATAGAGCCGACGCGAGCGACAACTGATGAGACGCCGAGTCCTGTGTTGCGGACAACTGTCGGATAGATTTCCGAGCCATGAATTGACAGCACATTCCATGCGCTGGTAATACCGTATTTGCCGACCAATGCTAACAACACCCGCAGCCATGAGCTCTGGTCGGCGACGATCACTGCCACACACGACGCGCCCGTAATTATCATGAATATTGCGTACAGTTTTCGTCGACCGATATATCGCAGGAATAGTGGGGTTAACAGCTGTGCCGGAAGTTCCATCAAACCCGCCAATAGGAAAGTTAGATAGAAATTGCCCCCAAAGTCACCCATATTGAAACTAATGCCATAGTAAATCAAAGCATTTACTACCCATCCGTACCATATGATCAAGGTGTATTTTCTCATGTTTGGTGTTTTGAGCAAATCTAGCGCACTATGACCTTTCTCGTTTTGGATCGCTTTCTAATTTTGAATAAATATAAAAATAGTTTTGCATAATAATTAAAATTTATGTCATTGAATGTGTAAATCATTAATTTGCAAATTATATAATTACTTGCGTTGTTTGCAGATTATTAGCCAATTGTATCATTTGCTCCCTTAAGTTGTCAACAGATTTGCCATTCATTAGCAATGCCTTTCTAATGGTGACCTCAGCCCTGTCTACCTGTCTATTAGCTAACTGCCATCGCGGAGACTCATAAAGATAATAAAACCAGATTAACATCGCTATCATTGGTAGAGCTGATATAAATTGCATGTATCGAAAGTCTGGTAACCAATATGCAAAAGGAGGTAATAATACATAGCCTAATACCCAACCAACACCAGTCAATAGTGTTATATCTAAACGATATTTAGGGCCACAGCACTCGAGCACTGGACAAACATAAATATATCGTATATTATTTTATAAAATGAGAATGATAAATTATTTACAGATTACTTCTAGCGCACGACCAAGGCCAGAATGGCCCAATCCGACCAGAAATCGTGAGATTAGATATTGATATATGTTATAGGAGAAAGCACATGAAATAATGCCCAATATTTCAATGGCATAGCACATTAACACCATGGGTCGTCGACCGTATTTGTCTAAATAATGTGATACAATAAGTCCTGACACCACATAACCAAACATGAAAAATGCTTGGGTTAGAGACGCATAGTTAGCCCGATCGCACACTAAATCAAACTACCAATGAATTATACAACATGCTAATAATAAATAACAAATAATTTTCTTACTTCAGTGATAATTGTTTTACGAAACTGAGTCCTATTGTACTCCTGTTGTAAGAAAAAACAGGCCTTGGCACAGTGGTCAATGGTCACTGGTCATTGTAAAGGCCCTGGCACAGTCGCCAATGGTCATTTAACATTATACAGGCTTTGGGACAGTTTTCAATGTATAC